TGGTCCCAGCACAGGCAATTGTGAAGCTGATGCTCGTACTTTCGAAGGTCAAGAAGCTGGATGCGCATTCCATTGCGAGTATTGGGACAATGTCAGACCCAAAGGAGAAAGCAATCGCCTCCATCCTTCTTACAACAATGGGAATATCTATCTACATACAATTTGTTGTTGCAAACTGATCGAGATGACACTGAAATATGGTTCGAATGAGTTTTCAGGTATTGCTTTCGGGACGCTTGGCTCGACCGTTGTCCTTGTCCAGCAAGACTACGAAACAGTATTACGAATCTTTGAATTGGCGTCTCGCGTCCACGTACAAGCGAGTATCTCTACTGTACGCTCACCTTTGGTTTGACATGGATCAAACCACTTGGAGGAAAGGAAATCGGGTTGGGCTTGGCAGAAACTTACAGATACGGAATGCGAAACGGTGAGATTGATTACGCCACCTGGGGCTTGGTAAATACTGTTATTTTCCTTCCCAATGCTACCGGGAAACCATTGGGTCCGATTTTGGCAGAATGCCCAAGTCTGCTGCTTCAATTGGAAGAACTCGCTAGAACTGGTCCAATAGGTACAATGAAGGTCTTCTTTCAGATGATAATGAATTTGTGCAGAGGTTCCAAACAAGGGGGTCTGAATCTCGAGGGCGAGATATACAACAAGATGGAAGACGATAATCAAAGTAGGATCCAAGTGTCTACAGTACATTTGGCGGAAGGATAGCTGCTTCTTTTCATGGGTGATTATCAAGCTGCTGCGGAACGAGCAATCACGAAAGCTGACATGTTTGCGCAGTATGCACCATCCATGTACTTTGTTATGAGCGAGACGTTCGGCCGAGGACTATCGTTGTTCGCAATGGCTAGGAAAACAAAGAAGCGATCATATGAAAAGGAGGCCAACGCTATCCGCAAGCAAGTAGCCAAATGGCTGAAGGCTGGCAATCCAAATGTTGAACACTTTTATTATCTATTACAAGCGGAGTACGAAGCATTGGAAAACAAGCACGACAATGCCGATGAAAGCTACAGAAAAGCGATCGCTATGGCGAAGGCTGGCAGCTATCTGCAATGCATTGCCTTGTTCCATGAGAGATACTCGGAATTCCTCTTGCATGTCCGTTCTTGCAGGGAAGAAGCAGCACACCATTCGAGAGAAGCGGCGACATACTTTGAAGAGTGGGGAGCAATGGCAAGGGCTCGAGAGATAAGGGAAAGCTTGACAAGAGGGTGATTGTTTTTGAAGAGCAACCACAAGACTATGTCCAAATTCACTTTGATGCTCACATCCACCAAATCACTTTACCTTCACAAATTGATCCAGACTGGTCAGTCGGAAATTTATCGATGGTTGCATTTGACGAACTCAAAATCTTCGAAGGATTATGCCAATCCAAGGTCGTCACGCCTGGCTTGCAAATTGAGCACTTTTCCAACAGCTCCCCATTCTTTGTAAAGACGAATGGATTCGTTTAATCGGTAGCTTGCCTCCTGTTGCTGTTTCAGAAAATCCGATAGGAGTTCGGCATATCGTTCATTTGCTAAAGCCGCATGAAGAAGGTGGCCGTCCTCGGACGCCAGCGTGATAGCTTTTTGGTAGTACTCAGACGATTCATTCCAGCTACCGTTAAGCGCCATCTGTTCAGCCTCCAGAAATGGGACATAATGCTTCACATTAGGGTTTCTCTTGTTTTCCCACTTCTCAATCCTTCGCCGTAGCTTGTTTGCATGAATCCTGTACTTCCTTTTCTTCGTCTTACGGGCTACGAAGTAAAGGCACAGCGCTCTGTGGAAGGTCTCAATCATTATCATGAAGAAAGAGAGCACTAACTTATCGAAAAAATCACCTTTGGCAATTGATTTCTCCGCCACAACGTCATAATTACAAGATAGAAGACGCAACTCTCCTGTTGCAAGATGGACCGTCGCATCATGTACCGCGCTCTTGTCTTCGTCTTCCGCGTTGCTGTAGATATCACCTTCAAGATCCGCCGGTTGTAAAATTGATGCATCTGATATAAGATGGAGTAGCTGGTAATAAACCCTAACCACTGATGCATGCCCTGACTGTGCATAATGGTCACAGCAAAAGAACATCCAGAAGACTTTGCTTTGAACAAAGCGATCTTGTTGTACAGGAGACTGTTTTCGTCGACATCTTCTGATCTGTAGCACCCAATAATCATCAGTGGATTGGAATTGTCGGTATCAGATATGATGCAATCCAAAACTTGCAAGGAGGAAAC